TTGTGCCTCATTTTTTGTATGTCAACAGGTGTAGCTTAAATTTATCCAACCACCTTATAGACTGCTCAATAAATGACTTAAATTTGAAGATTTTCTTTCCATTGCAGGTCTTGCAGAAGCAAACCGAGGCTATTGCTAGGCTTGGCAATGTGATGAAAAGAGATTTCCGAGAATTGGAGATCATAATGGCTGAGGATACTGAGATGATTAAAGATTAGAACAAGAATAGCTTTTAATTCACAATCAGTTCGTAAATTTGGTTTTTCTTTTCCTTTTCTTCTCTGGTTAAAAGATTTTTTTGGCAAATGAACAGGAAAATTATGTTACGTCTAGAAGTAAATGAAAAGGAGTGCATTTTTTCTGTACCAATATGATAAACAGAATCCAATTTCAAGATGCATACAAGGATCCTAGAACTAATGTGACTATTGCATTCCTCATCCATTTATCGCGAGGCTGAGATAGGAAAATCTTGCGACCATGCAAATCTTTTGTACTTTGCAACACTGTATTTGGAGTTTATAGTCGAGGGAAAACTTGGATAACAAGGTCGTGAAGCTTATGTATCCTATCACATTCTTCTTGTAGATGGAACAATAGTAAATTAGGAACCTGATCAAAACTTAAGATTCAATTGCCATTAAATTACATTCCCAAAAGCGAACATTTTCATATAACTGCACATCTAATATGGATCAACATAAATTACGATTCTATGTATCTATGCTGTCCTGCCATTCCGACTATGTAATCTAACGCTGATATTGAATCCAAGTGCACTACATGTCAAGTCAAATCTGGAAGTCATTTTTGCTTGATTTTAAGTGATTGCAGAGAGGAATTTGCCTTCTGCTAGCACGTACTTAACACTCGTTATATGCTTCTGCCATGATCAAAAGCACAAGCGATGTCCAACCAGTAAAGAGGCGTGCACCTTTTCCTTTTCCTTTCTTTTGATCATACTGTTCCCACAAATAGCCGGTCTGATTATAGTTTCTTACCACATTTCTGCAACAAAAGAAATCAATGGTAGCTAAGAATACACCATACCCAAAGGGTATGTTTTGATACGCACTGCACTACTTTACCACTACAACAACACGAGTTTAACATCCTTCTCTCTTAATCCTGTCCATATTTTCTGATCCCACGTACCAAAGAAGCCAGAAAAGCACAGAAGTCAATTAAAGACATCCAGGAGGCAGTTACCTTATCAAATTATCCCTCAAATCAGTGTAGACAATCTTTGCTCTCTCTCTGTATGGTCCATCAACTGCAGAATAAAATATAAGTACAAATTTCAAAGAAATAATTATAGCAAGAAACAATATTCATGTTAACGTGTACCTTTGGAATAGTGGTTAAGTGAAGAAAGAATCAAATAATTCATGTTCATCCAAATTGCCCCTCTCCAATACGGTGGATCATGCTCAGTGTTGCGTTTCATGTACAACGAGCTGTGACATAATAGAATTTTTGTAGGCACATTATCAGAAGTTCACCCAAACAGAAGGCTTCTGATCAAATGGAGAACAGATGTTTGGTTAAGCTTAAATGTTACTCTTTAGAAAAAAAGTTAAAAGGCTTTTGTTAGAAAAAAAGTAACTTCTAATATTATGTTTCGCAAACAAAGAAGCTTGAAAGTAACTTTTTGTTTTTAAGCTTAGTGCTCTCAGTCAAGGGCTTGAGCACATCTTTTATTACCTTGTCTTGGCAAGAGATCTTAGTCCAAAGTTGGTCCATAAAGTACTTCTGTTTGAAATGAGATCAAGCTGTTTTTCTAATATCCATGAATCCTAGTGGATACAAAAAATAACCTTACAATACCAAACATCAATGAGAAAGTGGCAAGCAGAATGACAAAAAAAGAGGATTTGACAACTCACAGGTGGAATAAGCCTACCCATAAATGGGAAAAGGCTGACATAGCCAATATGAGGAACCAGTCTCAGCACAGGTTCCTCAGAAACTTCTCGTACAAGCTCATGAATAGGGTAATCGCTGGCCCGCTTCATTAATTGCCAACTTAGACGAACCTATGAAGAAAAAGGATTGTTAAATCAAGAATGAGCTAACAAGAAACAAGTCTGGTACTACTGTCGTCTTTCTTTCTCCTTCAATTTTTTTATCAAAAAAAAAAAAATTCAACCTGCAGTTTTCATCTGTCGTAACCTCCTCATGTTTCAGGATATAACAATGCCTACCTTGTAGACGTCGCATCAAATGGTATTCTAAACCCCTCACACACTAAAAAGGGTAAAGAAAGCTTTTTGTCAAAGAAATGGTATTTGCATATGACTCAGGTAACTACAGATTTTCCAGATACATGACCAAAACTATTGAACCATAACAATCTGGATCTGAATCAGTGATGGGTAAAAAGTGTGAAGGTTGAGGCCTATTAAAACTTTTGAGATGTAAGCACCGGAAAGAGTCGTGATACGAACAACAGAGCCAATATGAGACTGATTACTAGAAAGACAAGCGCATATACCTGCTCGGTATGATTTCCATAATCAAAATAAGCTCCATGGGTATAATCAAAGTGCATCTGTTAAGCAAAAAGAGTACATCTGAGATTATAAACTTTAAGCCAGCACACCATAATCTTAAATAGCTTGTCAGAATGATAGAAAAATACATTGTTCACATGATAATTGTAATAAAGCAAAAATGGTTCTTTACCAATTCCAGCAATACAATCTAGGTGCCAGGGAAAAATAAAATTTAATGTGTAATCAAAAATTAGCAGATAGTGAACTTGAAAAAAATTGAGAAGCAAATAGTAGAACTACCTTATTTAAAAGCTCAAAATCTGAGAGCAGCCTTGCTGTCAAACCATACTCCTGCATTTTTTCAAATAAAACCTTACAAACCATAAGTAAACCGATATCTTAGAAAATATTTCTATTTTATTATAGTCATACCTTTCCAATTTCATTCTCCTTCCCAAGAAACTTTGAAATGGAATGCATGCAATCTGCAGCAAATTGCATCCAACATCTAAGATCCAAGTGGCGTTCATCTTCAGTAGGGTGTGATGCACGAGGATAATCATCCAATCCAGAAGATAGTGTCTGGAGATGACAAAATACTATTATGGTGATTTTTACAGACAATTCACTTATAACTGACACTGCATTGACAGTTGAAACAGAGGACTAAAATATTCCAACATTGGTCTTTAGATGAAGTCAATAATAACACTATAATTTGAGGATCATATATGATAGGCACTAAAAATGCCACTTTTATAATCATGAAACCAGATGTGATCTTTTCTCAAAATATTTATCTTTTTTACTTCTTAAAAGAGCATTGCAATCATGTTTCAGAGTATGCGAGCTTCTGCTTGCCATCCTGAACAATTTGTAGAGGTTTTCAAATACTTTACATCAGATTGGTAGCTTAAAAGATGTTAATTCTAAAAATTTGGTTTAAAGCCCCGTAGAAATTTATCTATTTTCAATTTATTAGACTTCCATAATGTTCAAGTGGAGAGCTCTGCCATCCATTTCCAATCATGAACAAAGTAAGAATACCAGTAAGTGATACTGACATTTATAATATCCATGAACTATAAAATTTACAACTCAAAAGACAATGGCAAGGAAAAGTCATCTGCAATCTTACCCCAAAACACCGAATAAAAAATTATTACTCTCTGATGAAGGATCAAAACTATGACAGGAAAAAGATAATTTGATGTCCACAAAGGTCCAAAACCCCTTCCTTAGTGCCCCCACACACCTGCAATCACATTATAATAACAAATTGTCATCAAATTTCCAAAAATTAAACAATAAAATCGCAAAAACTGGAGCGAGAAAGAGAGAATAAAAAATCTACCTAGCAAAGCCACTTAAATTCAGTTCTTTTGCTGCTGCAAAATTTAAAATTTAGAGCAGAGGATTCGTTTCTTACACCCGGCCCATTCCCTCGCCTAAAGGGAAAACCAAAAACAAGAAGATAAAGTCCTGATGACCTTGAAGAGCGATTTGCAGTCGCGGACATACAGCGCTGTTAGAGTGTAGGAAAACCCGAAAATGAAGGAAGGGAACTACGAAAGAAGAGTGGAATTGGATCCGAAACGGCGTCAGCACAGCATGAAGTCATCTGATTCATTTGGAGAGTGATTCGTTTGGAGAGTTCAATTGAAGGAAGACAGCTAGGGTTGAGGAGAATGAGAAATGTTTTACAAGTGTACGTCTTGTATTTTAAGAAGTCATATCGCGGGTAGGGTTAGCCCTCTTTACTTTTCACAACGTTTATTAAATGTTGCAAAAGGGGTATTTTGCAATGTTTATTAAACGTTGCGAAAGACCCCTTTTGTAACGTTTATTTATAAAATGTTTCTAAAGCTCAATTATACTAATCAATTGCAAATTCACTTATCAAAATGTTGCAATAGACCCCTTTAGCAACATTTAANTTAATGCTGCACATCAAATCTGCAAAAGGAAAATTTAAATTCGTAACTTTCTAGTCATTCAGTAGATCTTCCTCAACAAATTAGGTTTATTTCATTTGATTAAGTGTCTTCTATTAATACATGTGCACATACACAATGACATCGAATTGACAGAATGAAACTCATGGCCAATATGCTATAAGTTGATTAATAGATGCAAATAACTTGAACATATCTCAGTAGGGTTTGATTCCAATCCTTATAAAACGGTTGGTCCTGGTTATATAAGGACATAGGTAGAGAACTTTACATCTCTATCATGTCTATGTACATGTTACAGGGTGCAAGTATGATATCTGGTGTGCATGATGNATGATTAAAGAGAATAAGGAGCCTCGTAGCCCAAGTATAACTGTGAGGAAATTCAACTCAAAATTTTATAAATTTCCAATTAATTGCCATAATTTATCAAACATACAATCAACAAGAGATACTACAAATTAAATCTAAACAAATTAAATTCGCAAATCACTGACTTTAGTTTAGGCCTTACCATGCTGCTTTCCTTTGTTTTGGCTAAGGATGAGCGGAGAAAAATTTTGTTCAGATATTTCTTAAGGCTGATATGATATTTCTTGTTTATGGGGGGGGGGGGGGGGGGGG